TAACTAGGAACAAACTGCAGGTTTTCTTGTGCTGTATCCTTGCTTATATTCTGCCTTATGTGGAGCAGTGAAACCAAGCTGACCCCCAGGACTGGATTAGGTAACATTTTCTCTCCAGAAGACATCACTCCTGGCGCTACTAAAAATGTGCTGGTGGCGTTTGATGCTATGAAGTCACCAGGTTATGTTTTTTTGTTATCCAGGTGACTCTGTGGGTTCTGTGAGCTTCCATACTGCAATGATTTAAGTCACAATCCCCCTCTTGCCTGTCCTCCCCAGCCTAAAGGGAAAGGGGAGCTTCTGGCTCTCTGGCTTAGTGGGATATGGAAGCATACAAAACCAAATGTAATTCAATCATTTTCACCTTACGTGGTCTAACACTTGATCCTTAGTCAACTAAATAGTGGCACCTACTGCAGAGGGCTAAGTACAGAGGAGTTTGTTCATGTTTCAAACACTCCTGTGTGTCATTTTGGGGAAATGCAAGACCCTCCGAAGTCTTGAACTGGGACAGTTAAAATCATTTCAGCATTCTTGTTCTGGAGCTTGCTTCCAGCGTAGGTAGACAGTGATTTTTTCTCTTATATGTGATTTGCTTTTAAGCTTTGGTTACACAGAATCACTGGAATAATTATAAATTAATGCTAGATTTATCTGTGGATTTTGGTTACGTTGGAGAATGTTCTGTATGAAAGGAAGTTGATTTTTCTGTAGAAACACAGGAAAGGGGTTGTAAGTTCCGAAATGCTTATATAGAACTTAAGTACCAGGTAATTCCTTATTCTTAATGTACCTCCTGTGTGATTATTTTTTTTTTCTTCTTTTCTTCCCTATAATGTAACATTATTTTGGTCTTGGTTTGATTATTTAGGATCAGCTTATTTACTGTTATGCTTCAATTAAGTGTGGAACAGCTTTGTTGGAAATACGGGATTTACCTTTCCATGTGTTCCCACAACTATAAACAACAGTTTCCACAGCTATTGGAGTTCATGATCTTCTTTCTGGGGAAGAGGTGGTATGCATAGTAAAAATCATTCTGACTTTTAAAATTGGACTTCAGGTTGGTTGTCTGAGCCTTTCTTAAAGTGTGGACTTGAGTTTTCTTGTCTGAACCCTTCTTAAACCATACTTAGTCCGGAGCCATTCTGTGTTTTACTTGAATAACTGGGAACAATGTCTGTTTGAGCAGTGAAAGACTTCTATGGAATATGCGCTCAGGATCGTACAGACTTCTGTGGATAGCATTTTGCTCTAGAGTTTGAGGGATAAGATGCGTGACATATTATTTTTCATCAGAATGTGGTGTTATATCATGTGCAATTCTAACTAAAGGCAAAAAATATAGGTGCCTGATGGATCTGAAGCTGAGTGTCGGACACTCTTCCATTGAAAAAGGAATGTGCAGAATTCAGCTCAAGATGAAACTTCACAGGCCTTGCCTCTCAGCAGTGAGATCTCAGAATTGTGGGAGCATTGGATCAGATGTATGTGGCTATTGTAAATATAAATTGTTGACTGTGAGGGTATAACATAACATCAGTTGTGACTTCAGAGGCTATTTCTAACAACACTTGCTGAGTGTCTTGCTTATGCTGCTTTTCTTCTGAACCTGCTATGCTGGGATGCACCCTGGTGACTCTGTTATGTGTTTTAAATAGCGTTTGAACTTTAGATCATGTTTGGAGTTCATTTTTACTTGGCAAACTGAACTTCTGGTGTTGGAATAGTCTTGTAACTTCCAGACCATGCTGTACCTTAATCTGTCAGTGGTAAGTTGGAAAGACTGTTAAATTGTTGTTGCAAGCTGCTTTGGATTTATCCATTGTTTTCTGTAAAGCAAAAGTTTCAAATAATAGACATCAGTATTAATTATTGGGGGGAGGGCTGAGGGGGAAGATAAGAAATCAGTGAATTTTAGAATTTCCGGAACTGTTGGAAAATAGAAAAATTTCAGTGTTGCAACAAATGTAAATAATTCTGTCATAGTAATGATTTTTGTGAGTCTAAAAACTTAATTTCTTTTGTGTGTATGAATAGATACAAATATAACTGTGCTCTAGAAAACTCAGTGAAACAACATGAAACTTGTTTTTCAAATGTTGACTGGAATCTGCAAGCTGAATGAGATTGGTGTTCTTGGAATGCATACCAAGGAAAAAAGGAGGGCTATTAATAAAAATAATAAACCCCCAACTTCTTTCAGTTCAGTTACACCAAACTATACTTAGCCTGGGATCAGAGTCTTTGTGCACTGTTTGAGCACAGTAACCACTAGAACCTTTTTCTCTCATGGTGTATCTCATCGCTTACGGGTGCTGTGTAACAAGTGCTACTGCTTGGTCGGTGTTGCTCAAAACCTTACTGATGGTTCAGTGCTTGCTCCTTGGGAATAAGCTGGCATGTGCCAGCTGGGCAGTTTTCAAAGTGATGAAATATCAAGATGATGGCACAAGGTTGTGTGGAAGTTCAGAACACAGAAGCTTGAGAGAAAATAAAACATTGTAGATTTTTACTTAGAGAAGCAGGATGGGAGGTTGCATTAGGCATGGGGTTGTTCCAAGTGCAAGTGCTGATTGCTGGCATTCTTGGAGCTTTCAGGATGGTCACTCGTCTTAGAGGAAGTGAACAGAGCCTTTGTGGCGAGAGGTAGAGATGAAAGTCAACTGATATTTCACATGAATAAATTCAGGTTTTTAGAGGAAAAGAGATTAATTTACTATAGTAAAGTACAGTTTACTATGAAGAATGAAAGTAAATTCCAGAGTTCTTGCTTTAGGGGGTGGAAGAGAATATTTGAGCCAGTGGTTATCATCACTAAATCCTGTTTGTGCTTGGGAATGAAAATGTATCTTTTTAGGCTTTTCAGATGCAGACAGGTTTCAAGAGATTGGCACTTCTCCCACAAACTGTGCAAGCAGGATAACTGGGTGAAGGTGCTTACCTAGAGGCTAAGCAGATCATCAGGCATGACTGAAACGGATGTTGTATCTAAACAGACCACCTACTCCTTGCTCTTGCTGCTGAGATACCTAAACTGGTCTATGATTAGTATTTTCTGCTGCTATTATTCAAGGGATGTGTTGAAACTGGAGAACATGATACAGTGTATTTGGAAAGCTGTGAAGTGGAAAAGCTTTGTGTGGACTCTTCAAAGATGTCTGTAGGCAGCAATATATAAACAATTTCTGGCTGATGTTCAAACTGATGTTTTTAGATTAATCATGAACTTTTAATCTGTTAAAGAGCTATCCCTCTTCTTTCCATAAAGGTTCTGTCTGTAGTTGTTAAACCTGCTTTCTTGTTATCCCCCAAGTTGGTGAGGAGAGAGTGAGGACAGCCTGTTAGAAGAACAGTTCCTGCTCAGCTGCTCCAAACAACCTGCCTGGCTGTACTCTGTTGTTCAGCAGAACATCTCGGCTGTGTTTCAAGGGAAATCCTATGCCATTACTAAATCCAAAACAGTAGGATGAGACAGCCTTCTGGGTATTAGCATACTGAAAGATAAATCCTTGAAACAGTGGAGTATTTTTCATAACTTCATTGCTACTGCTCTGGAGAAGAGATTCAGATAGCAGATGGGAGGTGGTTGGGTTTGAGGACTTGCGTCACGTCACCTCCTGGCTTCATTGTGTGGTTTAACAGTTCCCATCTCAAACTTTTAACTTTTCCTTATTGATGCCTTTATAACATGGAATAAATATGTCCAGACTTGTTCTGCATGCAGCTTAATACCTGTAGTAATGGTTTCCTTCCAGAAGGGGACTGCTGCTGTTTGGGGATGCTAAAGCTTAAGGGGAGCTGTTTTGTTGAGGTCAACTTTACTCCTGATCCTTTGTGCTCTGGTGGAGAGGAAAGGTGGTTCCTGGTACTGTCTCCTGTTGGTACAGAAATCTCTGTTGCAGCAGAGAAGTGTTAGCATGGGAGCCAAGGCTGGCTGTCCTGATCTTCCTTGTTGTCAAACAGCTGGTGTCATATGAATGTGTATGGTTGTCTGTAGAACTGCAGGCTCTGCGGACGTGAGGCTATGTGAGATGGAAGCTGGTCTTGTGGAATGGTATGTGTCGGTAAAGAAAAAAGCTGATACCTGTGACTTGTGATTTTAGGACAAACAGACTGATAAAAGGCAACGGTTTCTTTGTGAATATTTGTGAGTTGAAGGCAACTGAAGTGGAAGATGGATGTCTCCAACTAGTAGTCTGAACAGTTGACCAGACTGCTTCCAACTAGCCTCTTTGAAAATGCTGGTGTTGAAGCAGGTGATGATGATGATGACCTTAGCAGGAAGCAGATCTATGATCCTCTTGGCCTAAAGCTTTGCTAGTTCTTACTGGGTGCTGGTTTTGTCCTGCCACCATCACTGGAGCATCGAGTCCTGTGCAATAGTGTATTAAGTGACGTTGTTAACATCTGTCCAGGGCATACTGGGAGGTCTAAGGGATTAAATGTTGCCTAATAAAAGCTCATCTCTTCATTGAGATAAATATTTACACCCTGCAAGTGTGAGAAAGCCGTGTGGACACTCAGATGCTAGAAGGACCAATTATTTCCTTGCTTTCTGAACTCTGAAGGAGCTTCTCTGAAATATTCACATTTAAAGTACTTGCTGGAGGTCTCAAGCTGCCCAATCTCTTAAATGTTTTGATGCTTGAAGGCTTACCTCTTCAATTGTGTCTTGAGAGTTGTAGTTGTTCCTTGAACAGAATTGTCTGCCGTTTGATAGGTAATAAAACTTAGTTATCACCTCGTTACAAGACAATACTACTTTTTTTAAAAGACAGCCCTGAAAAGAAAGGGGGCTCCGCAGCTCCCGTGGCCGAGCTGTGAGGATTGCAGGGTGGTCTCGCTGGCCCGGCAGGCTTTCACCCCCCTCCCCTGTGTTAAGCCAGTTTCGGCCGCTTCGGGGGCTGGTGGCGTTTG